CACGGTTCTTTTTCTTTGAACTGCCTTTCTTATCCTTCAGCCATTTTTAGGTGGGGTTGGTGGTCTTTACTAGAGTTGAGTTAGTGTTTACCCATCATGCATTGCAACTGTTTGGAAGATTTGTCATCTGCAGTGTGACCTTTTGTTGAGCCTCAGTCCTCTGTAGCTGCATCGCTGGTATTCTGGGGCACAAGGAGCACAGCAGGGAGTCACCTCAGTAGAGATCCCTTTCGCAGCACCACAAGGATGTTTATGGCTTTGGGTACCAGGATTCATGTCAGTTTAGCTGTGGGTAGGGACTTTCCCTCATAGGAGTTATAAAATTCACTAACAAATAGAGAGTTGTTTTTTATGTCCTGACCAAAGGTATGGAAATAGACACCTGCACAGGGGCCAGGTGCAGTACGTCCATGTACCTTGTTTGTCTACTTTCTGAGAATTTGGGGATCTGTTGTTCATTTATGTTTAGATCAGCTTCTGGGAAGGCTGACTGCCATCCTCGTTGAACTTGCAGAGGCTCTAGCAGTGGACCTCCTCCTTTATCTCTGTATCAGTAGTTAGATGGACATGTATGCACTGTCCCCTCTGTGCTTTGGAGCAGGGAGAGATGAGCACAGAGAGAAGTGTGGGATGTCTTTCAGGCTTGTTGGCAGCTGTCAGCGGGTTTGGGAGTTGAGACTCTTCTCTACCACTGTGGCTGCTCCTGTGCTCCTGTGACAGCATCTTAGCTATTTCATCTGCAGAACAAGTTACAGTGTATAATTAGTGGGGGCTATGTGTGTGTGTGCGTGCGTGCGCTGTATCCTCATCCCCTGACCCCGTGTGGGCACACGCTGGACGCTCTAGGTTCTGCAGAGTGAGGTCATTCTGTGTGTATCCCTCATTGGCCTCCAATCTAGGGATGTGGACGATTGAAGGATTGGCTGAGATAGCAGATGACGTAAGGACAGTGTTTTCTGGTTGCAAAGCTCCTTGACTTCTTCGTGCCTTCCTTTTACAGTTGTCTAACTAGAGCCAAGTTAGCTTCTCGCGTTGTGTGTGGAGGCTCCACTCCACAGGCTTCGTGGTGGAAGGAGAGGCGTAGACAGTGCTGAGGAGAGATGACAGTCACTTCTGGGAAGAGCGACATGAGGTGCTGGGATAGAATGTGCTAAGCTGGAGTGGGCCAGAGAATGCTGAGCAGGCTCAGACTCCTGCTCCTTCCTTGAGGTGGCATGGGGGCAACTGAGGGACACTTGAGCCGGCATCCCTGGGCATGAGCTGCTTTTTCCTGATGGGCACTGAGAGCTTAGGAGGTAACCTAGCTTGCAGAAGTGGATGTCTGGTTGCCTGGGTGAAGGTCTACTACAGGGCCTTCACAATTCCAGTCCTGCCTCAGCTGCATGAAAGGTCCTGTGGAGGAATTTCTCCGTAGTGGATAAATACATCCTGTTTGTAAAATAGGAGGCCCCCTCCCAGAGTGGGCCTGAGATAGGAGTAATGACGTGTTGGACGTATGTAGCCATTTTACTTGGAGGACCCCCCCCCCCCTCAGCTCTGCCTGCTACCCCTTCAGTGTTCACTCAGGAGGTTGCTGAGACTCGCCTACAGTGGCGCCTTCCCAGGTGCTTTTTCCCCTTTTATGCTGCAAAGCACCCAGGGCAGCCAGGTGTCAGAAAAGCAGCTTCTGTGGTCCAGAGTGAAGAGTCGATGGCCCTGGCCTCAGGAGTGGCGAGGTGTTGCCTGACACAGGGCTTTCCTCTGACCAGGTGCCTCCTGGGAATGCAGAGGTCTTTGGCAACACACTACACTACACCTGGGCCTGAAATGGACTTTGGCATCAGTCTTGGCATCAGATCAGAATCAGCACGTCCCTGCTCCAGCTGTCCCTGTGAGTGCTATGTGGAGGGAAGACCCAAGGCTGCCCTGTGTCCGGGTCCCTGCTGCCTAGAGCTATGCATAGAATAACCCCCAAGTGAAGTGGGTGTGATCGGGATCCAGCTGCCCCCCTAGGGGACCATTATCCTAATATATAGGGGCAGAGTAATGGCAGAACTCTGGTGTAGCACTCACTGTTAGCGCTCACTGTGCGCCAAGAACTGTGCTGGTCACATGATAGACTTGTTTACTACAGCGACCCCGTAGGCCCATCATTGGATGTCCAGGAGATGAGAAAATGGGGGCACACAGGTTAAGAGCCCCTGTTCCTGGGGTTCCCAGTGAGGTCTTCTGAGGTGTAGAGTTTATGTGGGCAGCTTGTTTGTCGCTACCGTGTCGTTGTCTGCTGTTGGCTAGGAGAGCCACGTGCCCAGACTCTGCTGTTTCTTTCCCATTTGGTGTTTGGTTTGGTTTAGAATCTTTTCAGGAGATCCCATGATGGAAGATGAGGGAGTCAGAGGTGTACAGCCAGAGTCAAGGGCCCATTTTCAACACCCTGGGCAGTTCCTACACCTCCCTCACTGCGGCTGTCTTAGAACTTCCTTCCTAGGTTGTGGACTCCCTGACCTTATTCTGACCCCCCACACTTGGCAGGCAGCCTTGGCGGTTGCACCTTAGTTTAGAACATGCATCTTTTGACCTTTTTTGCAGGAGGATTTCAGACACACCATGTAGGGCTGAGTCTTAGCGTGGGTATCATGGATTTCAGAGTTCCTCCCTGGCTCGCCCTCTCCCAGGGCCCGTGTATTGTTAGTTGAAAAGTCCCCTCACTCCCTGGCCTGCTCAGTGCTCAGGGCTCCAAGCCGAGTGTCCAGTCTGAGGATGGATTTCCTCAGCACATCTCCTGCACTCTTCGTCGTCTTCACCATCTTGTCTACTTTAGCCTTGTGGCCTGCACAGGGGGCTGACACAGATGGACCCAGTGGGTCATCCAGCTCTGGAAAAACACAGGAGCGTGGCCAGGAGCCTGCTCTGACACCTTGGTTACCTGTTTGTCTCTGATGTCTCGTGCCCCCAGATGTGGAGACCGAGCGTGAGTGTGAGTTCCCCCACGGGATTCTTTTTACTCTCATCCACTGCAATGCAGAATGGACGAGAGAATTGAATGCAGGTATTTCCAGTGCCCGCCTCTTGTACCGCTCCTCCCTTTTCCACTGCCCTGAGCACTCAGATTGTGCATAGTCTGTTTGGTTTTGATATTCAGTACCCAGTGCAGCCAATAGTAATTCAGTCAGTACTTGTTGAGTTGAATTACATGCACATGGGATTGGCCAGTGTCTCTTTCTGTTCCTCCTACAGCATGGAAAAGTAAATACTTACCCCGACAACACACCCCATACAGAGCTTCGCCATGCCCCTATTTGGCCACAAGGTGGCAGTGTGACACAATGGGCAGTTTGCCTCCAGCACACGGGAGATAGCAGTCTGGTTGGTTCTTTGTGGGCCTCTGCTTGGGAAGTTGCATCTTTGAAACCACTCTGAGAAATTTTAGCCTCTAGCTTTCTCCTAGACTCTGGACGATAGGGCGGAAAGACTTGGAATTTGGAGTCAGACTGTCGCTGTCTTCCTGGAAGTTTCTCCTTGGGCAGGCTATTTCTCTATCCTGTCAGTGAGACACAGTTCAGCACCGTGTGGACCACAGCATAAAGGCACGCTAGTTTTCTTGTTGGAGATTCCTGTGCTTGCCTTTGGCAGCACCCCGCATGTCTGATACTACTCACCAGGCTCTAGCTCATGGAGTCCGGCTCTCCTCAGCTCTCCTGCTTACCTCAGCCCTTTCCTGTCACATAAGTGGATGCTCCAGTGCCTGCTTGGCCTGCGCAGTGTGGAGCTGTGGTGTTGGTAAATCCATGTGCTCTGTGTCTCAGGATGGTAGCATCTGTGCCCTGTACCTCGCTAGCACTTTAGCAGCAGCGGTGGTTACTGCTGCCGAGCACGAGTCGACCGTCACTCCATTTTACGGAGCAGAGGCGTGTGTGGATGCCTTTGCCTCCAGACAGTAGGGTTCTACTAGAAGAGTTTAATCAAGCAGTCAGGAAATTATTCTTGGTTTTGTTTGTTTTGTTTTAAAGATGGGGCCCCACATAGCCCAGATTCGCCTTGGATATGAGTCAAGACCAGCCTTGAAGCTCTGCTCTCTCGTCTAGTCTCCCTGCTGGCATGGCAGGTGTGTCTGGCAGGATAGGATGCTTGGTGATGTCACGGGGATTCAGGAAGCTGCCATGTTTCACTGGTTTCCCTCGGCACACAACTCTGTGGTCTTAGGCCAGTCTTCTTATTACCGTGATAACTGTGTGCTCCTAGCCAGCAGGTGCAGGAGAGACAATCTAGACCTTGTGCTGTTTTCTACCTTCAGAGTTCTGGGCCATTCGGATCTTCGGCCTGTTCCTAAGCTAGTCAGTAGCAAAAGAAATGACACCAGTGAGCTGGTTTTTGACCAGAATCCAGCCTTTAAGGCTGGTGAGGGTCCGGCTTCACCTAATGCCCCTGGACACCTGGTCCAGTGAAGAAGAAGGGGTATGAAGGAGCTTGCTGAGCCGCACCGCTTGCTCAAGACTGCAGATGTAGTAAACACCAAGGTTCCGACAGCACCTGGCTGACTTCAGAGGCCTTCTGCATGGGTCTGCTGCACTTCTGAGTGATCTTGGTTTCTGTTCCTGCTGATTCTGAAATCGCTCCCTTTTTTTGTCCACTTTCCTTGTGGTTCTTTTCAGTCTGTCTCCATGGGTCGCTGGCCTCCAGGACTTGATTGCTTCCTGCCTTAGGCTTCACCCTCTTAGCTGGTGGAGAGGGCCTTGATGGCAACTGGGAGTGAGGGTAGTTTCAGCCTTGCTGTTGTTCAAGCTCTGGAGGGGTCAAGTTGAAGTTTTGTGTAGAGTGATTAAAGTTACTGCAGAGCGATCTCAGGGTCCCAGAGGGAGAGAGACTGGGGAAGATGCCATGGAAGTGGCCTTAGCCTTGAGAGAGAGCATTTATAGTGTTGGTGGGAAAGCTGGCACAGGGGCATAGCTTCCAACAAGCCTGGGCACGGGGCGTGAGCTCTCCCCGGAGACTGTGTCACTCAGGAGGTGCTGGCCTTGCAGATGCTCCAGGACTGCCCGAAGGCCCGCAGAGAGGTGGAGCTGCACTGGAGGGCCTCCCAGTGCCCCCATATTGTGCACATCGTGGATGTCTATGAGAACCTGTATGCCGGCAGGAAGTGCCTGCTGATCGTCATGGAGTGGTGAGCCCTGCTGCATTCTTATCCCCGAGTTACCCTGGGGTGCCTCTGCCCCTGGGGACAGCCCACTTGGGGCCGTGGAGTGTGGTAGGGGTGGGGTGATTGGCTGGTTTCCAGATCTTTCACTGTGTGTTTTTTTTCAGTCTCGATGGTGGAGAGCTCTTTAGTCGAATCCAGGACCGAGGAGACCAGGCATTCACAGAAAGAGGTAGAGAGGGTTTGCTGTGGGGTAGCTGTGGGTGGACAGGGCAGTAGGCAACTCTAGGGCCTTTGCAGACCCTGCTCCCAGAAGAGGCTGCGGGTACTGCTGTCTCAGGCCCACTGCTGGGAGCACCTCTCTCCCTCAGCTGTGGGCCAGTTCAGAGCTTCTCAGTGTGGCTGATGAGTAGGAGGGTGTGGAGGCTGAAGCTGCGCTGGCGGGCTGGTGCGTAGAGCTTCCGGACCTCTACCTGTGTCTCTCTGTCCTGCAGAAGCATCAGAGATCATGAAGAGCATCGGCGAGGCCATCCAGTATCTGCACTCGATCAACATTGCTCATCGGGATGTTAAGGTACTGCCTGCTTATGCCCCATGAGCTGTGAGAATGGCACAGCAGAGTCGCCGTGCACCCTGGTTGTCTGCTTCCTTAGGGTAGGATGGGTCTGCAGGCCCGTCTGTGGCCTGTGGAGTTCGGTGCAGGGGGCGACAAACTTAGTACTGAAACCCTCTGTGGCTGCACTCAGTCCTGCGGGTCTTCTCACCAGCACCTCACTGTCCCGCACCCAGCGCTCTGACACAGCAGTGTTCCCCACAGTTCCATGCGCTTGCTACTCTTTGATTTCCAGGCCCTCTGTAGCAGGGAGCTGATGTCCCCAAGGTGTGCAGAGCAGAGGGACTGGGTGGATGCGTGGTTGGTTGAGCAGATGAAGGGAAGGCACAGTCCTTCCTTTTGGGTTTCTCATAATATTTCCACAGGGTTGTTACTTACTCATCTCTCTTTCGACAGCCCGAGAACCTCTTATATACTTCCAAAAGGCCCAATGCCATTCTGAAACTCACTGATTTTGGCTTTGCCAAGGAAACCACCAGTCACAACTCTCTGACCACTCCGTGTTACACACCATACTATGTAGGTGAGTTCAGGGGAGGCCCAAGGACAGAATCCTGACCAGGCTGTGTCTGAGCCCCTTGTTTTCCTGGTCTCCAGAAGACCATAGTTCTAGGAGTGTTGGGTTGGGTCTTATGTCCTTATCTGGCACTTGCCTTGAAAGGACTCTGTCATGAAATGACTGTCAGAGTTAAGCTGTGACTAAGTGTTATGAAAATAGTCTGCAGGGTGAGAGCAGAATTTGGTGCCTGTGTCCTCTTCCTAAGAAGAGCCTTAGTTTCTGTCACGTTCTCTGTGGAGTTAAAGTCCCAGCTGACTCATTGAATAAGCCCACAACGTGTGTGGTTAGTTGCACGTGTTTGCAAAGCTTCAGCAGTTTGGGTGTGTCCTCACCCTAAGATTCTAGATGTAGAGCTCCTTCTGGGGAAGGGCCTCCATTCACCTCTCCCGCTCCAGCTGCTCTTCCAAACAGGGAGGTCTCAGTGTTGAAAGAGCCCAGACAACCCATAGTGATCTTTGCTTTACAGCTCCAGAAGTTCTGGGCCCAGAGAAGTATGACAAGTCCTGTGACATGTGGTCCTTGGGTGTCATCATGTATATTCTGTGAGTGGCCGGGGTGTGGCTGGGTGCTAGGCTGGGGTGTGGCTGGGTCCTAGGCTGCAGTGCATTAGGGAGCTGGGGAAGCTTGTACCTCTGCAGGACAAGAGGAAGAGGCAGACATTAGCATTTCCTTTTGGATGGGGGATTCCCTGCGAATCCCCTGTATTCCTGCCTCACTTGGTGCTTTGTCGGGGTTCTGGCTGCTAAGTGGTGGTAGAAACTAGCTAACTGGCTAGACTGTTTAGTTGACATCCTTGGCACATTTGGTTTCTGGGTCCTGCTGTGTCTGTATCGACAGTCTCCTAGTTCTCTGTGGTTATTTCAAGAAGAGACTGTTGGTCACCCTATTCTTGGTTCGGGATTCCTAAATAACACCCACTCTGCTGTTCTCTTCTTAGGCTGTGTGGGTATCCTCCCTTCTATTCCAATCATGGCCTTGCCATCTCTCCGGGTATGAAGACTCGTATCCGAATGGGCCAGTATGAATTTCCTAACCCCGAATGGTCAGAAGTGTCAGAAGAAGGTAGGAACCAGCCTTTTGGATCAAGGGAAAGAGTGTGTGTATGAGCATATGCACACATAAGTATAGGTGTTTATCTCACGTGCTGCTAGAATGGGGGCTTGCACCTGTTCCTATGCCTTCTACGTGTATCTTTCCTGTGGGAAGTGCCTGAGTGGGGCCAGAGCCATAGGACTGTGTAGGGCCTGTCCAGTGGTTTAGCATGATGGTCCTTGGAGCCACTGGTACTTGGGTAGCAGCCTCCGTACAGTCTCCTTCTCTGCCTGATTAATGCAGGAAAGTGCAGGGCAGAGTATAGCTCTGAGCCGTCCCATCCCCAGCGCTGTCTCTGTCCCTTGAATTCTCCCATATCCTGAGCTGCCTCACCCCTGAGCTGTCTGTCTCTGTCCTCTGAGCTGTCCAGTCCCCTAAATTGTCCATCTATGTCTCGTGAGCGGTCTCATCCCTGAGCTGTCCATCCCCCGAGCTGTCCATCCCCCGAGCTGTCCATCCCCTGAGCTGCCTATCCCCTGAGCTGTCCATCCCTTGAGCTGTCCATCCCCTGAGCTGTCCTATCCCCTGAGCTGTCCTGTCCCCTGAGCTGTCCATCCCCTGAGCTGTCCATCCCCTGAGCTGTCCATCCCCTGAGCTGTCCTGTCCCCCGAGCTGCCCGTTTATCTCCCCTGAGCTGTTGTGTACTCTGCCTTGCCCCCATAGTGAAGATGCTTATCCGGAATCTGCTGAAAACAGAGCCCACCCAGAGAATGACCATCACAGAATTCATGAACCACCCCTGGATCATGGTAAGCTTTATGGCCTGGGGAGACCTGTGTGCCAGGGACGCTGTTGCCCAGTTGGCGCCTTACTCAGGATTTTACTTCTCTAGTTGTCACTTGATCCCATTTCTCTTTCCTCAGCAATCTACGAAGGTCCCTCAGACTCCACTGCACACCAGCCGTGTCCTAAAGGAGGACAAGGAACGGTGGGAGGACGTCAAGGTGAGGGGTACTGCTGGATAAGAGCACGTTTAGAGGAAGCCCCAGCATGAGTTTTGGCCCTGGCCAAGGACAGTTTGGGTCTGTGTTCTTCATCCCAGTGTAACATCAATGGCAACAGAAAGGTGACGGGGAGCCATTGCCTTCCCTGGCTTGTGGCAGGGGTTCTGTGCTCCTGCCCAGACTCTGCCATCTGCTTCTCTTGAGCCCTCCTCTCCCTGGGGCTCTAATGGGACCTGAAGAGGCACTGGGTACCATCTCCTCAGTTTTCAGATGAAGGCGCAAAAGCCCCAGACAGGGAGTGGCCTGTTACAGGTCCTACAGGATCAGTCCCAGACCTCCTGATGGCTGGCCCAGGGCTTTTTCCCCTTCTAGGGCTTGTCAGAGGGTTCCTGGGAGAATAGCTCCATGGTGGCCAGTTCGTGCTGTCTCAGTGCTGGCGGACACTTCTGTCAGCGGTGGGGTGGTCCACAGCCGACCATTTCTGCCTGTGCGTCTCTCACTGCTTGTGTCTCTGTCCCCTTTCCCTGCGTCCAGGAGGAGATGACCAGTGCCTTGGCCACGATGCGTGTTGACTATGAGCAGATCAAGATAAAGAAGATAGAGGACGCTTCCAACCCTCTGCTTCTGAAGAGGCGGAAGAAAGCTCGCGCTGTGGAGGCTGCGGCCCTTGCCCACTGAGCCGCTACGTTTCCCACCCCACTGGAGGACAAGCAATAACTCTATATGAATATATTTTTTAAACAAAGAGACACAAGTTGCCCACTGCTGCCTCCTGTCCTCCTGAGCTACGTGGAGCCCAGATATGCCTCCGCCTGAGTTCTGCCCTTGGCTCTGGCCTTCATGGAGGGGGGCTGGAGGATGTGTGAGGAGGGGTGAGGTGCTCTTGAGCCCGTGCTCCTTTTGCATTTTATCTGTAATTTGACGTAGAATTTTTATGGAACCTCATTTATTGCCCTTTCCCCACCCCCCGTCCTTTTCCCAAGTCCATTCCCATCTGCAAAGGCTAGGGTTTACCCAAGGGTTCTGGAAGTTGTTACAGGGAATGTTCCTGCGTTGTCCCATCTGTCCTCCCAGACCTCCTACTGGAACCTGGGGTCCTGCTCCAGGAAGAGGGAGGAGTGGCGGTAGGGTGTCACTCGCCTCCTGCTGAAGCCCTCAGACATCACCAGTGTGCACAAGAGGAGCACACGTGTGTATGTGTGTATGCCCTGGTCCGTGACAGTGACTGGGCATTGGAGGGCCAGGGAAGACAGGGCTGCGGGGCTCCTGCTTGAGCTGAGCCTGCCTAAATGCCTAGGTAGCTTGTCTAGATCCAGAGCCAGGTAGTCATGGCCTCTGTATTAGCTGAGTAGGGGCAGTGGTGAGTGGGCACTGGCAGCCATCAGGAAGACTGGGCCCTTTCTGGGGGCCTTGTCCAAAAGTTAGAGCTGGTTCTAGGTCCCCGAGGCACTGGCCACTGAGCAGCCTCTGCTTGCCCTTCTTGCCATTATTAACCCACTCTTGTTGAGTTCTGAAATTTTTAGCCATTTCTCAATGGGCTGTCTCTCCGCTCTCATGGGTGAGCCTGGGAATGTTATTCTGCAAGGCGTTTGTGTTTCATGCATCTCCCCCCAGCTCTGGGGTACCTGCCAACCTCCCTTCTTTGGCAAGGGCAGGACCACGTGTGGTCTTCCTGGAATTTCCACCATATGGCCTGGTGGGCGGGGCAGTCTTCGCACCAAAGATGTCTTGACTCTGTCCCTGCCCGCTAGCCACCTTACCCTCTAACAACTCAGCCTGGGTGGGGGTCCCCAGGATTGAGGAGGAGCAGGTGGGGAAGAGTCTTCGTGCCATTGTCCCCCATGCCCCTCTCGCTGGAGGAGGGGTGACTCCCTCAGGGGTTGGTGGAGGAGGGGCTCCTGGGCATCTCTGGGCCTGGGGGCAGGGCCCAGATGTCTGCAGCTCCTGCCTCGTCTTTGATGGTGTGTTCAGCACTCAGACTGTTGTAAACTGTTGTTTTGTATGAGCAAAATTGTCTTTACTAAACAAATTTAATAGTTGAAAGTTTTCATTCTCTTCCTTTCTGGGTCTCAGGCCCTGGACTGCTTCCCTCTCGAATTCCAGCCTGTTGGAGAGGGCCTTTTGTGGTACGTGGCAGAGCTCTGGAGGAGAGAAGTGGGCCTCCTGGATGGATCAGCATGAGAATAGCCCCTCTTAATTGAGGGCCTACGACAATAAGAGCTGATCTCTTTTGGAGCCAGGGCAGGTGGGTGGGGGGAGTCACTGAAGTGGGTCCCAATGATGAAGGTTCTACACTTAAAACCGGGGAGGCAAGGTGGTTGTAATACCTTAAAATTCCAGGAGGGAGCAGTACAGGCCAGGCAGAAACAAAGTGCCCTGCGTTGTACTCAGCCTCCTTAGAGCCCCAGTGATGAACTGTGTCCTTGGCAGAGCCTAGAGTAGAAGCCGATCTGCTGACTTTAGGGCTTCTGTGCCCAGTCAGGGGAGAAAGGCAGGGGCAGCGTGGTTACTTGGTTCTGCTCTGTGAGTTTACCAACCCAAAGGGGAAATACGGTGCCTCCAGTCACACAACTGTTGGCTGGGCTAGAACTCAGGCCTCAGGATCTCAGGGCCTGGAGTATTTGCAGTCTTCCCTCAGCCCTCTCTAGAGGACACACTTGCCTGCTACCCTAGCCATCGAAGGGATCGCGTCTCTGCCACTCACCTGAGGGTGCTCCTTTCACCCTAGAGCACAGTGAGAGTCATCCAGCAGGCACTCTTGCTGTAAAGGAACTCCTGTCTGCACCTCACAAGGGGGTCAGAATGAAGGCTGCCATCTGAGTTACAGGCTCGAGAAGGTGCCTTTTGTAGCTGTGATAAGCTCAGTGGCACAGAATACAGTTGCTAGATGGCAACCCCGGTAGAGCCTCGCGATGCTCACAGGGTCTCTACAGGACCACTTTCTATTCTGCCTTCCCAGGGGCTTCTGCATTCTTTGGCTTGGGGCCTCTTCCTCTGTCTTTAAAGCCAGGCACTTTGTATCTCTCTTGTCCTTGTGCTGTCCCCTCTCTGTCACTGCATGAAGGATTTCACAGAGGACCAGTCTGATGGGACCGGTCCAGCCCAGGGATTGGACCAGTCTGATTGGACTGGGCCAGCCCAGGGAGCCCACTCCTGAAACCTTAACCTTGCTCCCATCCACAGAGTCCTTCATGCTGTGGATGGTGATGGATCCCAGGAGCAGAATCTGTTTCTTTGGAGGCCAATGCTCTGCTCCAGAGGTCTGCCTTGCTGTTTCCTCATCTTAGGGCACCGGTACTAATTGGCCTTGTATTTTGCTTCTTTCTCTCAGTCCAGCTTACAAGGTCTAATGCTGACTTCCGAGGAAGGATGCCTATAAAAAGCCTGGAGGTCTGACCCTGCCTCTGTTATCCCTACCTCACCTCCATGAGGTTCAGATTTCCTGGCTCTAACTTGGGGGCAAAAGAATAAAAAAAATTTTTTTTTGATATTTCTATGTGGCTGTTTAAGTATGCCACATATGTGCAGATGCCCGTGGTGCTGGAAGAGGCGTCAGATCCCTTGACACTGGAGCCTCTCCATGTGGGTCTCCTGGAATAGCACAACGGTCTGATGGCCCCGTACCAGCTCTGCAGCATCTCCATTCTCTAATTCAGCTAGCCCTCATGAGCTGGGTCAAAACATTGGGGACTTGTCTCCAAAGGCAGATGCTGGCTTTCCTGGGTGTGAGGTTGTGGGGGTGAACGGGCTGATATACTTCTTGAAGATATCAAGGGGAATTCTTGGCATTCTTGGGTGCGTATTGCGTGAAGTGCTGGTGCAGGGTTAATTCCGCATTAACCCTGGGGTTAGGTCCTCCAGTGGTAGCAATCGGGTTTTCTTTGACTTAGGCTGAGGTGGACTCTTATCCTAGATCATGCAGATGGTGGGGCGATTGGAGGTCTTGGAGGTCGGATTTTCTATTTTTATCCTTAGGGCTCCTTCAAAATTCACAGGAAGTACGTCTTCTGGGTGGGAGGGAGAAACAGCCTAAACCCGGTCCCCTGAGGATAATACTAGGCCTCATAGGTGTTGCGAGGGGTTCAGGAAACCACAGATTTAATGTCTCCTGTGGTACCCCTCCAGGGTGTTTTATATAAGCATAGCTGCTCCTTCCAGGGACTGCTCAGCTAAGCAGGGTCAGGGGTGTAGGGCGGGTCTGTGGCCTTGCTCCTGTGGTCCCTGCCGAGGATTAAATCTGCCGTGGGGTTGGCTTGGGAAGCAGTGAACTAGGGTTTTCCTTTGGCTGGGTTGGAGGCAGGAAGACGGCCGGTGAGTGAGACAGTGCGCAGATGCGTGGGCCCGAGTGGGTGAGTCGTAGGTGGAGCCTTCGCCAGGTGTGAAAATTCAGTTATTCAAGAGAGGAGGTTAGGGAAAGTGGCCACACCACTGAGTGTAAACAAACCACTGGATCCTGTTATGTGTGGGCTGGAGTGAAGACACAAACATCTGGGGAGCAGCTTCCATCGTCAGCCCCTTCCTGGATCTGCCCGACAAAGCTTGGGTTTAGGCCTCGGCTGCCTTGGATCAGCCTGACTGAGTCTGGGAGCAGCTGCTGTCTACAGGGGACATCAGGCTTCCACTCTCGGGGCCTACTGTGGGCATCATTGCGCCCTCTCCCTGCACGGAGTCAGGCCAGCATGGAGACATTTCCCACTAGGCCACTACAGCTAATACCCAGGTACTTCAGCCCTGTCCTGAGGGAGACGGGGAGTGTGAAGCCAGACTCTGCCCTGGAGGAGCTGTGCATAGCCAAGTGTGTGTGCTGCTCCCACAGGCCTGGACACTTGGAAGCTTGCAGTGGTGCAGGCTGTGTTGTCCCTTCCCACAGCCTTAGACGTTTTGAGACAGCAAGGGAAGGAAGCTGACGTTGGCGCTCCATTCCCCAGTTAAAGCCTTCATTCACAGCCTTGCTTTGGCTTGGCAGAGCTAAATAAGAGCCTTGAAGGTGGGGAACGGTTTGCCAGTTTGAAGGTTAGTGGCATTGATTTTGCTGTAGGCCACGTGCTGATCAGTGGCATGGTGAAGACTTTGGCCACCCTTGAGTAAAGATGCCACCTTTGGTTCCTCTCGCTGCCAGTGAAAAGATGCAGGGGAACTGGCCCAGCCCCTGTGACAGTGGGTTCTGAGGAGTGTACGGGAGTCACCAAGGCAGAGGGAGACCCGTGCTGCCTTCAGAGGAGCAGCTGCTATGGGGCCCCAGGAGGGCTTCCCTGCAGCCTTGGGGGTTGACTCTCATAGGATAGTTAGTGGTGAGTTCTCACTGGGCTCTTGTCTGTCTCCTGAGCCAGGCCCTCCTGTCTTTCTCAACTGCTGCTCCCTCAGCATTTTCGTCCAGTGGCTGGCCCTATGGACTGTGCCCACCGAAGGGCTTGCCCCCTTCAGTGGGGAGGCTCCCTGCGTGTCTTTCCTACCCCTTCAGCCTGTACTCGTCATTCTCAAATGTGTGCCCCAACCGAAATAGGGGAACATGCTCTGGTGGGGGATTCCCCGCTAGTTTTTCAGTCCATTAATAGTGAGGAGCTGAGAGAAGTGATGCCCTCAGCTGAGCTCACTCGGAGCGAGACATTTGGTGCACCACTAGAAAAAGATGGCTTTGCAAGAGATTGAGCCGCTTTAGGAGACAGGGGAGCATGTCCCAAGGGCCTTCACTACCGTGGAAAGGCCTTGGCTCTTGGAAGTTTTCCATCATCACAAGGTGATGAGGAAA